TCAATGACAATACCCTGGTCTGGGTCAGCCACCCTTTAGTCCTCAAAATAACACCCGTGCTTTTCAATACTTTTAAGAGGTCTTGTGTAGCAGGTTTACCCAATGCAATGTGTCCTTTGATTTCTTGACTGCTGGTTCTATGAGTATTGATTGTGGATCCAAGCAAGACAAACTCTGATCAATTCAATCATGTTCCCATTTTTCATGATGTTACTTATTTGGATATATATATCACAAACCTCAAAACCAACAGTGGCTTACTACAACTTAAGTTTATTTTTCAGTCATGTAGCAGTCTACTATGGGTTTCTATGGGTTAGGCAACGCTTCTCCGGGTGCTAATTCAGAGACCCAGTCTGCTTCCATCTTGTAGGCACTGGTATATGAAGCATATGGATTCCAAAGGATACTGGTAGTCTTTGCGATTCCACCCAGCCAAATGGGGAAACGAGCAGGTTGGAGTGAGGATAGGAGGTCCTTTCAACCCAAGCCCAGAAGTGACACGTGTATTTTGCACTTACGGTAGAACCCCGGTACTTGACCGCATCAGTACTTGACGTAATCAGATTTCGACGCAAAATATTGAGAACGTTTTGCATCGGAGGTTGAACAAAACATCGGAATCCAACCCGACCATGTGATTTTTGTAAACAAAAACAGTTCATGTTTCGGTCACTCAGTGTTGTTAGTACAAGTTGTTTAAATCTTTTGCAGCTGTGTTCCAAGCATTTTGCTATAATTTTCTTAGTTTTTGTACTGTTTTTAGATTAAAAATATGGGTCCGAGGAAGGAGTTTTTGAAAAGAATCATCATGATAAGAAACTGGTTAACCATGTTATCTATATTGTTGATGATAATTTAGTAAACCCTTTTAGAAAACAGCTAAGGAAATACCAACAGCAGACCACATTAGACATTTTTTTTTTTTGAGAAAGCAAGCCAGATCCTAGTGCAAAAAGCAAAGGAGGGGGGAAAAACTCCTGAAAAGCAGGTATCAGTTGATTTTATGGAAGGGGATCCCCCTTCCAAACAATGACTCTCTCTCCATCCCTCCTCTCAACATCCGTGTCCACAGATACAGATCCTCATCAATCTCCAGGTATGAGCCATACCGTAGTTGCTAAAAACGTTTTTAATGTTGTGTTTCTTATTTAAATTATATTATTGAGCTCTGCACTTATTTACTTTGAAATTTCTGTGTAATGATTTGTATAAAAAGACAACTTAGGGTAAAAACTTGGGAGTCGAGAACGAATTAATCCATCTTCAGTTATTTCTTATGGGAAACATTCATTTGGAACTTGACTGCATCACATCTCGACGCTCCTTCTAGAATGGGTTAGCGTCGAGGTCTGGGATTCTACTGTAATTGTTTCCTTGGTTCATTTGCCAGAGTGAGTTGCAAGCTTTGACCTCAATGTAAGGGTCTCTGTGGTGTGTGGTTCATGATTAGCTAACCCCTCTGCTGAAAGTGAAGAGAACTTCAAGCACTTCCTGTTGAAGATCAACGCGGCATCCTCAGTATAGATTGCCCTTCACACTCAAGAGAGCCGAAAGCCAGTGTGCAGCATCATGATAGAGAACAGACTGAGGTCGTGAAGAACTGTATCTTTCGGAGATCCACAATCAAAGCCAATGGAAGCAGCAGTCAAGACCTCAAATGACGCGTTGCACTAGGGAACCGGCTGCGGAAGACTTCTGTAGAGTGTTGAGGAGCAAGGGTGTCACTTTGAGGACGAAGATGCACCCGATTCAAACCATGATCCTTTTCAACTGCCTCATATAAATGTGAAAGTTGGATACTGAGTAAAGGAGACTGAAGAAGAATCTATGCATTTGAATTGTGGTGCAGGAGAGGGATATTGAAGGCACCACGGCCGGCCGGAAGAACAGACAAATCTGTCTGGGAAGAAGTACAACTAGATGCTCCTCGGAAGCCATGATGGCGAGACTTTTAATCTCACATGCTTTGGGCAAGTCATCAGGAGAGACCAGTCACGGGTAAGGAGCATCATGCTTGATAAAGCAGAGGCAGCCGAAAGGAGGAAGAGCATGGGGGGCTGGCTTGAAACAGTGGCCGGAACCCTGGGTTCAAACCCAACAGTTATGGAAAGCGGGACTGGGCTGTGCTTTGCTGTTGTCCATAGTGGCTCTATGAGTCAGAACCAACTGGGCGGTACCTAACGACAACGGCAACAATGGCTACTGCTTTACAGCCACAATCCTGTGCTATGAGAGGGGCACGGGGATCTCCGGGGGAGAGCGTTTTTCCTGCTTCAGCGCGATTGCCAGATTGTGTTTCAAAGCATAACCATTTACATGCTCAACAGTAGTGCGTGTGTAGATCTGCTTCCCTTGGCCCTTGACAACTTTGGAAAACAATTCATATTTCTCACCTGAATCCTCTGGCCATATATCCTTTGTCCTCTTCCCTTTAAGCTAATTATCTTTTTTCCTTATTAGCATCTAAATGTTCTTCGTAGACTATGACTGTTAACACTATCATGTGTGTTCGCATACTCTTCCCAGTTAGCAGTTTTCTTCCTTTTCCCAGTCTATTTTGGCATGTATGTGTGCTGAATTTACATACAGTCAAATCTGCCTACAGTTTCCTTTACGCCCTGTGGGGTTTGAAATTGCAGCCATAGGTGCAAAGTCAATTTTAAGAGATAGAAATCCAGATCATCCTAAACCCACTGTCATCAAGTTGATTCCGAGTCATCGGACTCCATAGGACAGAGAACTGGTCCTTAGGTTTTCTGAGACAGTAAATCTTTAAAGTATTTCTCCAGCAGAATGGCTGGTGGGTTTGAACCACCAACCTTTGGTTAGCGGCCCAACACCTAACCCAGTGTGCCATGAGGGCTTTTTAAAATAAGACTAGCTTAAGCCAAAAAGAACAGGCAAAGAAAGGACAAGTGTTTACTCTCACAACTGGGCATTGCAGAGATAGCTCTAGTTTCAGCCCTGGCTGGACTGAGCATCTCAAAGATATGTCCTCTGGGCTCGGTCTGTCTCCTCTATCTGTTGCTCAGCTTTCTTTATATTTATGTGGTGCCAACACTTTCTCTACAAGGAAATCTGCTCTATGTGATGTTGTAAAATGCTGGACCTCCAGTTTACCTTTTATCTGTTTAATTATATGTATGTGACAACGGACCCCTTGGTACCTGTGTCCCTGGTGGATAGGCGGAGTACCTATCAGCATTCTAGGCAAAGGACAGCTCCCCAGAAAAACCGATGGCTTAGCTGAATTCAACTCATTGCCCCGAGCCAAGCCCAACTCAGGGCGGCGGCCCCATTGGACAGAGTAAAGCAGCCCCCGTGAGTTTTGGAGACTGTAAATTGTTACGGGAGTAGAAAGCCTCGTCTTTCACCCACGGAGCAGCTGGTGATTTCTAATGGCTGACCTTGCGGTTTGCAGCCGACCAGGTAACCCACTATACCTGAATGATGGCTAGGTAGAAGCCAACTTAGCCCTCTAAGCTTGTCATACCTGGAAAGGTCTTTCCTACCCTTAGATGATGAAGCAATTATTTATTTTTGTCAACTGTGCACGTTTCATGATTTCACACGCATTTTTGACCTGGGTGAACAGTGTGTATAAGAGTAATCGCATGGGGTGACGTGATGAGTCTCTTGATCTGGATCTCCCGAAGAGAAGATGATCTTGAGAGTTATTGGACCATTTGGTTACCATTGCTTCTTGTTTTCTTGAGTTCATTCCTTGAGTTAGCCCAAGCTCATTAATCTTAGGACAATGGAAAGGCCAAGAGCTTCATGTAGCCGAGAGCCTTCCACAGTGGGCTTTCACAGATATCTGATTGAACTTGCCTGTGTGCAATGCTCATGTTCTCCACTGGACATCCTAGGGATTTTCAGGCATGCCATAGATACACCAAGGTACCTGCATACAGGGGGAAAAGGAAACCTTAAAGCCCTCCCCACCCTGGTCCCACTAGGGTGGGAGGCGGGCTGAGCCCCAGATAGAGGATAAAGGACGCAGGTGGACAGCAGATGGAGTACCTTACTCTCTCTGTATGCACGATCAGTTCCCCTGTGGGGACTCCCATGCATGGGGGCTCAGCAGTAATACATTCTTTCTGAAAACGCATCCCTCAAGAGTTCAGCGAAAGCTTCATTATTTCATCTTTTTTAACGCTGGGAGAGGCTTTGAAAAATTACTCTCCCTGTTCAAGACATCGCTCTCTCAGCCTCAGCAATTCTTTCTGTGTGACCCCTGGCCCTACCCCCATTTCTTTATCTCCACTTCAACTCCAGGAAGTAAATAAATACATTTAAATGTTTGAATGTTAAAAGCGTGGGTTGCCTGGTGCCATTTGTCGAAGGTTCTCCTCCTTGACCGTGACCCCCTCTGTTGGTCTCCCCATGGCTTTGTGTGTCCACCCTCCGGAAGGGGCTTTCTTTCTAGATTGTGTTGTGTTGGCATTCTTCTGTTTCTTCCTCTTTTTAAAATAATGAGCACGTCTCGTTTCTGTAAACACTGTAACCATCCCTTTTGAAGAATAAAATCTGTGGTAGGAAAACAGCCTTCTGTTTAGCATTGGCTGTATTTTCCTCAGTACATGAATAAATATTGTTTATTGGCAATTATGAGGCATAAATATGAGAGACTTCTACCCAGAACCTCGAAAGACTTCAGCCAGAAAGCGATGAGGCCAGAGAAGGAACCGGGAGAGGAGACTGAGGGTAGACAGGAGGCATCCCTCCAGGGGTGGGGTCTGGCCACGCTGTGAGGGATTTCTGTAGCAGAAGACTGCTGGTCTCCATCACCTACGCCTGCCAATCACTTTGCCTTTGAACACGCTCTATGTGCCTCGGTGAGGCCTCAGACATATCCCTCCCTGTGCCCAAGCCAGCATCCAGCAGGGACTCCACAAATGCCGAATTGTTTATCCAACGACCGCTCAAAAGTGCATAACTGGTAAGAAGTTTCCCAAGGGGATTCTTCTCCTGAAACCCACCACTTTCTCTTTCAGGCTCACCGGCTTTCAGCTGCCAGCCACCATCGTGAGCGCGGCCACCACCCTCTCTCTGCGCCTCCTGAGCGACTATGCAGTTAGTGCCCAGGGCTTCCATGCCAACTATGAAGGTAGGTGATCTCGGGCCGAGCTGGGATGTGGGACCAGTCACTCTCAGCACCGGGGCCAGCCTTCTCAGCACTGGAGCTCGTGCTTCTCCTAGCAAGGCTGGCAGCTCACCGGTAACTCAGTTACCTCAGTCTCGCGCTCTGTGTCCCCGGGAAACGGAGAATTGAATCCCGAGCTCAGTGGTAGTGGTTTTGCCCGAGGGCCTGCTAATATCTACTTTCCAGGCCCTTTAACTGGGTTTTGTTGTGTTTTTATTTTTTCAAATTCGATGTCCTATCGGGTTTAATTGTAGAAGGTACCTCAGCTTGTTTGGGGGCAAATAAGAGGGATCCCAGATAGCATCCCTAAGTAAAAGACACAAATTTGGTAAGAGGCTGAAAAAATCTTCCAGCTCAACACAGCGCCTGCAACGAGTCAGTTTTATGCCATTCAAAGAAGAAGGATCCATTTTTTGGTTTCTTTTCTTAATAACACGGATTAGGGTTTCTTGGCTTGAGCTCTGCAAATAATTTCCACTTCTCTCAGCCTGCTTAAATATGATGTTAGCATTCAAACGAACACTTAATATCTTCAGATTAGACACTATTATTATTATTAACTTTATGATGTTAGTTCAGAAGGTGGTACTTCTAGATCTCTGTCATTTCCCTGGGAAATTTACATCTCATTAATAGGCAATTATGCTGCTCTTGGCTGAGACCTGCACTGCTTTGTGCGTGTGTGTTGAGATCATTAATAGGCATATTTAAGATTGCTAATGATAATTAATAACAGTAATGACATAACACCTTTGTGAAGCATGCCGGTGACTAGAAAGCTTTCTCTCTCTAGCTTTTGTTCAGGAATTTAAAGAGGAAATGATGATTTCTTGAATGAAGCCAGAGGAAACCGGAAATAGAAACAACCTTTTTGTTGTTCAGCCCGACTTCCGGAAAGGCGGGCAGGCCCTACTTCCAGGGCAGAAACCCCTGCTGATGGCAGAGGGACGCGGGAAGGCAGCTCAATGCTTTAGCATGACCACATGAGGGAGGCCACCTGAGGTGAGCGCAGTCATCCCCAAGGGAGGGTTCCGAGAAGACTCCAGAGCAAACATCACATCCTTCAACTGAGGCCACCTGGCATAACCCGCCACCTTTAACCGAGAGCTCGTGACAAAGACCTGCCTTTCTTGAAGGCCCCCTCAGGTTGACCGAATGATCCGCTCCTCCTAATGGCAAATCCGTGATTTTGGCCATCCTGGCGATATCTCTACCCTGGTCTAGGACCTAAATGTAATTCTTTGGTTGAATTACAGTCTCCTTACGGAGCCTGTTGAAATCTCTCTGGTCTTGAGCTCCTTCCATGATCTGTCGGCCTTAGGAGGAGGGAGGGTGGGCTGAGTCAGTGAGGGGGTTTCTGCAGAGACTCGGGGTCCTCAGTCAACAATCCTATGGATCTCTGTTTGAGACTCAACCTTTCATGAGGCTTAGGGAAAGAAATATCGCCTTGATCCCTGGCTCCTCTGTTGCACCTATAAAGAAACAATGTCAAGTACTTCTCCATTCAGGCAGAGTGAGCGCACATTTGTAGAATCCTTTTAAAGCAGTGTGTGTAACCTGCTATTAATGGGCAAGAGTATACTTTTGAGCATCAAGTGGTTGGTGAAACACCTCAAGTGAAAGACAAAATTCTTTCCATGAGGGTATATATTCCCCCTCCCCCACTTCCACCCCAGGAGGGTTTATCAAACAGTGCCCTCTGACGAAATCCAGCCAAGCCCTTGTTCTGTAAATAAAGTGTTATTGAAACACCTCCATTCCCATTTATCTGCCTATTGCCAATAGCTACCTGCATGAACTACAACTATGGAGGTTCTATGGCCTGCAAAACCTGTTTGCTTATAAGACCCCGTACTGCAAAGGTTTGCCAACCCCTAAGTGATAAAAGAAAGTGTACCATCCAAATAGAATAGCCATTCACCACAGGTGACTATTCATATTTGAATGAGTTAAAATTAAACACAATTCAGAATTAAGCTCCTCAGTACCATGGGCTAAGGGTCACCTATATCACCTGCACAAATCACTTACATTCCCCTCGAGTCCATTGGGGCTCATTGTGACCCTACACAACAGAGCAGAACTGCCCCAGCCGGTTTCCAAGACCTTTTTACAGGAGTTGAAAGCCTCGTCTTCATCCCAAGGAACAGATGATGGTTTCAAACCGCTGACCTTGTGGTTAGCAGCCCAGCAGGTAACTCATTATTGCCATCAGGGCTTCTTGCACCACATGTAGCTCAAGGCTGCCATGTCAGACAGCGGAGACACAGAACTTTACTATCATGGCAGATGTTTCTGTTGAATGACATTGGCCTACAGCATCCAGGAGACGCACTGGGGAGTGTGCCTCAGAAGCACGTATAAGGCGTCCTCCTGTTGATCTCAGCTACTGTGGAGTCGGCTCCTGTCTCTTAGCTGCTCCGCGTGCCGAGTAGGACTGTCTTATAGGGTGTTCAAGGTTGTGACCTCTCGGAAGTCTTGTGGGTGGATTCAGACTATCAACTTTTTTGGCTTTAAGCTGCACTGAGGGCTGATGAGGCCTTTTTCTTACCTGGCTCACACAAGTGAGGCAGATTCAACAGAAGAATGTTCAGCATTTTGTACCTGGGCAGAAGGAAGGCCTGACAGACCCAGCCATACAATGGTGTTAGGTCTGTAGTCATGGGCACCAAGAAAGACAAGATCAGCATGATCTGACTCGTGTATAGTTCGCCCTGCCAAGCCCTCTGCATCTTCGGCAGGCCTGGGTCTTATTCACCATGACAAACCTGGACCACTGCAGACAGGTAGCTTTGTAGCTGAGCGAGTCCATGCAGGTTTCTATAAATGTCGCAGTTTATAAGTGTCTGGCTATCTTCGGCCTGCACAGCAAAGTGGGTCACAGATGTCTGTGCTAACAAGTGAGACAGACGTAGGTGAACCCAAGCTGTCACCAGGCCTTCTTGATTTGGCCTGGGACTTGATTATGGGACAATTGGTGCATCTGGAAAAGTGAGTTGCATCCATTTTTGGAGTGCCCAGAGTCGAGGGGTAAGGTCGGAGTAGCCAATAGAGGACAGCTCCTGCTATGAATATGCCCAAGCAATCTGAGCATCCGCAGCCCTGTCAGTCACAGGACTGTGCAGCGTGAGGCTGGATAATCCTACATTCAGGAATTTATTTACTGATCAACACCGGCGTTGGGGGCCTGCACATTCCTAACTGTGTGGCCTTGGCATATTTTTAAGTGCTCATGGCCTCACTGAAGCGGGATGGGATCTAGCCGTACCCAGATCGCTATGAAGAGTTGGCTCTTAGAGACAGAGATCATGTCGCTCCTTTCATTACGGAGTTCCCCTTAGGTCAACAAGCAGACAAACAGACAGGCTCCAGAGGAGAAAGCCTCCCTGCCAGCCCGGGTTGAATCCAGTCGGCACGGCTCCCTGACATCCTCTAGTCCAGAGGTCCCTATCTCATTCCACAATGGCATCAGGGCCCGGCTTCCTATAGCTCCCCTTGGCCCATGTTCTTGAATGTCTGCTATCAAAGCAAGTTTGATCCTGCTGCACCCTCCTTCAGAGTGTGAACAGTGCAGATAAGGAACTGAACTGCTAGTAGGGATTTGGGAGAAAGGTGCTGTCAGGTGAAGAGTGTCAGCTCACAGCTGCCGCCAGGAGAAGATCAAAAGGGCCCTTAGTCAAACCCGGAGATGGCAGGAGATGCTTGAGCCCTAATCCCCGGGGGCAGGAGCAGGAGCTGTGGCGGGTGGACAGGAGGGCAGGGGATCAGCTTGTATTAAGCACTGACTATGTGCCAGGCACTTGACATACATTTGCTCACTTAATCCCCACGACACCCCCCTGGGTAGGCGCTGTTATCTCCATCTGACAGATGGAGAGTCAGACTCCGGGGGCTTTGGTGTTCAGCTTAGAGCTACCTGATGGCCAGGAAGGGGTTTTTTTTGTTTTGCTTTATACATTTTGTTGTTATTGTTGTTGTTATAGTGGGAAAAGTATACGTATCACAAAACACTTGCCATTTCAACATCTTTTCCCTGTTGGCGCTTACCGTGTTGCACAATCATCACCTCTATTTCCTAAAATTTTTTATCATCCTGAATGTCAACCGAGTGCTCCCAAAGCAATGACTCCATGTCTCCTTGCCCCTCTTACTCCTGGTCATCACTAATAAGCTTCGGTCTCTGTGAAACCAGTTCACTAGTTGTGGTCTGGCTCCTGGTGAGCCCTTGGAGGTCAGAATAGAGCTGTGCTCCAAAGGGTTGCTAGCCTCCCGTCTTTCAGTTAGCAGAGAGCATGTTCACTGTCGGCACCAGGCAATTCCTTGCTGTCGATGCATTTGCCTGTTCTATTTCATTAATTCAAGGAGACTCGGTGATGTAGTGGGTTACCTATTGGGCTGTTAAATGCAAAGTTAGCGTTCAAAGTCACCAGCTTTGGGATCAAGAGGAGGCCTTTGTCTCTCCTAAATAGTTACAGCCTCAGCAACCCAAAGGGACAGTTCTACTGTGATCTACAGTGTCACGGTGAGTCGGCAGCAATTTATCGGCAGTGAGTTTGGGTTTGGGTTTTCGATCATTTGTATAACTGGAATCGTCCAACAATAAGTGGTCTTTTGTGCCTGACCTATTTTACTCAGCATAGTATTTTCAGGTTTATCCATGTTTGAGCGTGTATCAGAACATTATTTCTTCCTATAGCTGAGTAATAATATTCTGTTGTATGGATACACTGCGATGTGTTTATCTGTTTCTGGGCTGATGGACGCTGGAGTTGGTTCTTTTTTTGGCCTATTATGAATACTGCTTGGATGGACCTTGGTGTTTGGACTTCCGTTGGCTTTCAATTGTGTGTGTGTGTGTGTGTGTGTGTGTGTGTACCTCGTCTTTGGCTTTTCACAGCAGTGATCACCTACTCAGCATCCTGCCCTCCAGGTCCATCCATGTTAGGAGGTGCCTCACACAGTCC